TCGAGCTTGATTTCAGAAGACCAGGAATAAAGTTTCGTGGACTCAAATCGATAGTATTGATGGTGCGTGGTGATAAAGATATGCGAGAAGCGTTAGCCGCGTAAATGAAATAATCAGTGAGAGGTGAGGGACGGATTTGATTACCAACAAGGTGATCTAGTGTGATGATAGAGGAATGAAGATGGTTGTCACTTCCCGCTTGCTCACTTACTTATTTACGCCTGTTACTCCTCGTGAAGGAGCATAGGCCGCTCACCAGCATTCTCCATCCAACCCTGTCCTGGGCAATCCTTTCTAGCTCCGTCCAGTTGTAATTCATCCTTTTCATATCTGCTTCTATTATCCGACGCAATGTGTTCGTTGGCCTTCCTCTTTTTCGCTTCCCTTCAGGATTCCAAGTTAGGGCTTGCCTCGTGATGCAGTTTGACGATTTGCGTGATGTATGTTCTATCCATTTCCATCGTCTTTTCCTAATTTCCTCTTCAGCTGGAAGTTGGTTTGTTCTCTCCCTGATCCCCAGTACTTCTAAGTTGTAGCGAGTTAGTTTTCTACGGGATGGGGACGCTAACCCCATACCCAACCCTCCTCTTTTACCCGGGCTTGGGACCGGCAGTAACCCTATAAGAGCTACAGGCGGAGTTGCTTGCTCACGCTGTGGAGGAATATTTCTTCCTGAGGAACCTGAGGATGAGGCTCAATTAGCGGTGATCTTAGTGACCTGGGTACGTAACCGTCACTCCACTCTCCCATCAGAATCAAGAAGTTGGTTCAATACCAAATCGAGTGGGATTGTCGCGTGCCGGATGTTACTAAAGGAATAATAAAAATCCTCTGACTGCTGATAAGCTGAACGACACATCAGAAAGAAGGCGGAAGCAGCTAGTCGGGAAATACATGTAATAATTCCAAAATATCTGGTTAAACGCCTAAAACGTTTAAAATGATAGTCCATGCGAACATTATTTAAATATCAAGTGGGATTATAATGGCGAATAAAGGTTTAGTAGGGAACTTCTAACAAATCAAATTAAGGTGCATACTAATAACCTTTGTTGAGTAGCTAAACTTGTGACAGTACAAGTATTTTGTACTGAGAAATAGAAAAATATTCAGCGCTGTATCGTTGTTGATACTGGTGCTATTTTACTTCTAAGCTATAAAGTCAGTTATCGTTTATGCCAGTATGTTGTCCGTATGTGTTGATTTCCAATAACATCTACATTAGTAGGCTAACTGGTGGAACAAAAATATGAATGCGTAGAGGAAGAATTCCAACTAGTGTCCCAGTTTGTTTATTTAGTTGCATGAAGATTTTCCCGGCCTCATTATTGTTTACCCTGGTTATTAACCACACGATCTTTGAAGATGAACATATAGTAACTGAGATGATTCATTTGCAATATGTAACATTAAGAGAAGGTCAAGAATGGTAGATGCGCAAACATTCATGCAACCTGATGGCATGGCTAAGCCATCCAGACGTGGTCGTTCTGTATAACTTGATTTTATTTACATCAAATATATTATTTTATCTTCAACCTGAATCTGTAGACAGTGAGGGGACTTCCACGTAAGGTCTTATAGATTAGGTAGTCACATTATGACAACTGTATAATTTTAGGATTAGATCTATCAATATAGCAGTATTAATAGCGAAGTAGCCCATAATTCTAAAAGTCCAAGGAACAATTGCTTGAAGTTGGTCGTGAATGGTTTCTTACGGAAGGCTCTTGATGCATTAGCTCTGCACTTCGAAAGACCCTACCACCGGAGAAGGGAATCTGCGAAGCCATGTGAGGCGTGACATTTTTATGGGCAACCTTTTCTAACTTCTTCTTGCCGTTGTGAGGAGACAGCGTCACGAAAAATGCTGATTGTTCTAGGGAAGCAACTTTCTGTTGTTACATTCCTACAGTACGTAGTACAACTTCGCCCTTGGACCTTAATTCAATGAGTTAGCCTTGTAGTTCTCCACCGTGGTTGGACGCTATGGAACATGTGTTCTAGCCAATATGGCTCAGTTAAATCATCACGATAGGAAAATTTGATCACCACGTCATGGTATTTACTGCGACCGGGCGAAATCCTTGCAGTCTTGTAGATCGCCAACTTAGATGATCTATGTCGAAATGATTAGACGTGAATGGTGTGACAAACTAGCTAACATCGAAGTCACACCTCGTGGTCAGCACCTTACGTGGACTACCCCATTGACGTACCAAGGTACTATAAATGCTTTGAAGACTGTACAACACAGAGGACGTTATTACAGAAATATATTAGTTAAAGCAGATACAAGCGAAAGTGAGACCGCTGCCGCTTGGGCCAGTCCATAGCGTATGATTAAATGATGCGCAGTGGTTGTCCCTGACCTTGACGGGGATCAATGATTTGCTCGATATTCAATGACCAAACTGCCGGATGATTTAGCTAGGGCTTAGTGAGATTTCTCTGGACCTACAGTCTGCTGAAAAGAACGTTTTGTCTCTCTGTTACTGTCAGGAAAACTACCGCTTCATGTGGTGATATTTTCGACATTCTTTAATGCTGTATGGATGGTAAAAATTCCAAACAAATAAGTACTGGAAAGCTATAAAGTATTACCCATATGGTCAGTTCGAATAACTTTTTATCGATACGTAATAAAGGAAGGGGAGTATTCTAGACAAAATTTTGGTGGACGCTTGCTTTAAGTAAAGAGAAGGACCTGTAAGTGTTTGACCATCATGTCAAGGTGACCTAGAGTAAGAAGTCACAGGATAACATGTCTTTCCAGTGATACTAATTACATTAAATGGTAAAATCATTCTATTTATCTCCACAGCAATATTCAGGTTGACGGCTGTTAGGCAATGAAATTAAATTGATTTAGCACAATCCTATTCAGACTATCAGTAAATTAGTTTAACATAAAAAGCAAACCGTGGGTTGCTCACTTTCATCCTGAACGGTGATTTAGATGTCTCGTGGTTATTTCATGACGCTGATGTAATCATGAAACTTAACTTCCTCACGTCTCTCGACTTACCCCTACTTCTTACGATTAACCTAGGCCGATCTTCTTATTAGACAATCTTCACTAACGTCTGTAAAAAAAACTCGATGTCCTCTCTTAAAAATAAGGCTGAAGGCCTTAGAAATAAGCTTGTTTGTCACAAAGATACCGAATACATTGGGGAATCAAAGCCCAAATGCTTGACCCGTGGTCACTTTGGAGCGTATCCAACGGCGAGCCACGAAATCAGTTCGAGGACTCAAATCTAAGCCTTACGAAGAACGCCTCCGTTCACTAGACCTTTACCCACTAGAATATAGGCGTCTCAGAGGTGATTTATTAATGGCTTATAGTATTCTTAACACTTCTGGACATCCTCTTAAACACCTACTTAAGCTTAGTTCGAACAATAACCTAAGGGGTAACACCCAGAAACTGGAAACACAACATAGCAAGACGGAATGTAGACACAACTTCTACTCCTTAAGAGTTGTCAAAAGCTGGAACTCGCTGCCGGCCGAGCTAGTCCAAGCGACTTCTCAGGAGTCCTTCAAGAGGCAACTTGACCTATTCTTAAGGACCAAGGACAGCATCGCACTATGATTTACCAATTTCTTTTCCTCTTTTATTGTTAACATACCTAGGTTCCTGCCTGGAGGATTTCGTGATCCCCTGCTACTAGACACGGAAGCCTGTTAAGCGAAAGCTTCTTCTATTCCGTCCACAACCATTTGAACCATTTGAACCATTCAACAAAGAAGCGGCTTCCTTGACTTGTGCGCTACTTCGTCGTGATTAACAGTGTACTAGTTTCTGCTTTAGATTTTTTTGGCAAGTAACCTAGTCTCTTGCATATCAGTTTTTTCTTTGTACATTTGACATACATATCGTTTTACCACCTGAGCCATTTAACTTGAAGTTCCAATACTAGAAAATATAATATTGAGTCTTCAGTAATAACGATAGTAGGTCGATGAACCTGCATTAATCCTGACACACTGCTTTCCAGTGAAGGTCCAGCTTCTCGTTGAAAGTATTCACTGATGGGGCTGATACCACTTGTTCGGGTAAGGCGTTCCAATGATTGACTACTCGATGAGAAAAACGGGACCCCCAGAGTCTGTGACATCATCAACGTTATTCAGTCTTCAGTAATAAGGATAAGAGGTCTATCGACCTGTATTAATCCTTGCAGTTTGTAATACTGTGGAGGTCCAATCTCGTCTTGAATACATCAACAGGTGTTGATATTACGTGTTCCGGTAGAGAATTCCTGTGATTTACTACTTGGTGCGAGAAACGTAACTTCAGACGTAAAAGATTTGATCTCGGGTTTTTGAACTTTCTTCAAATGTCCTCTCAAATGACCAGTCCTAGACGGAAGTAAAAGATAAGACATGTTAATACCAAGGTCATCGTTCAGTATACGATAAGCCAATATTAGATCAACCCGTATTCTACGGTAAGATAACGGAAATAAGTTAAGGTGTCTCAGTCTATCTTCATAATATAGGCCAAATAGACTTTTTACCATCTTAGCATCTCGTCGTTGGACTCTTTCCAGCATATCTGCTTCATACTTGATACAAAGACTCGCTGCTTTATTTATTTTTTATTATTAATAGCTTTATTCAATATTATATTATTGGTACAATATAGAATTCTCAGCACAAAGTATTTCAACGAGTTTCCGTTTCTTTCTTCTTGGTCGGTCCTCGCGATAAATACTGAGTGGTCGCCAGCTAGATGTTATCAGTCCAGTAAATGAACATGGGAATGATGTACATTCTTTTCGTTGTACATTGCCAGCAACCATATTCTCTCTTTTTGAGCTTTTTGTAACTTTAATAACGAAAGGTTGTACATTTTTCAGAAACGCAGCAGTATAGGTTGTGCGATTAATAGACATAATGATATATTAAAACAAACAAAGATAGATAACTTGTTGAAATATCTAGATGGCAGGAACAGGTAGCCCAGATGCTCAAGCAGGCCGCCGAATCCCATATTCCAAATATGGTCGCACGTAAATCGGGTATAATAATCTAAACATTTTATCTAAATACTGGAAAGACCTACGAATAGACCATAACACCCTATAGCCTTTCGCAGCAGCAGCCTTACAGTGGCTAGTGGTTTTAAGACCATTGCTTAATATGACTCCTAAATCTTTATAGTTTCTTACTCTGGGTAGCACGAATCCACATATTGTGTAGTGATACGAATCATCATAGTTATTTAATTGCATCACCACACTCTTATCAGGATTTACTTCTAGTGACCACCTGTCCAACCATGACACCAATGAGCTAAGATCATCCTGTAATAGTATTCTATCCGACATACTGTGTATGGGTCTCCAAATTTTTATGTCATCAGTGAAGAGTAGAACGGATGATTTTGCTACAGTTGGCAATTCATTTACATAAAGTAAAAAGAGAAGAGGACCGAGGGTTGTACCTTGGAGAAATCCGCTTTTTACGGGTACCCGCGGGGAAAGAGCTCCATTAACCCTTACCCTTTGTTTCCTGTCATGGAGGGAGTTACTTATCCAATCTACGGCAGTTTAATGGATTCTAAAACGTTCCAGTTTGGATTTAAGACCAGAATGGGAGACCTTATCTAAGGCCTTATTTAGATCTATGAAAATCACATCCACAGGAGCATTCCGATCCTTTGCCGCAGCCCGATCTTCTCGTGCAATGAGAAGATTTATCAAGCAAGATAGGCCTTTCCGAAAACCATGTTGTTCCCTGGAGAAAAGATTATGTCCTTCAACATAGTTTATAACAGATATCCGAATGATTTTCTCAATCAGTTTTACAACCGCACTAGTTAAACTAACGGGTCCATAGTTGCTAATTAAATCCCTACTCCGGACTTATTACCGCGTCTTTTCGGCCTCTGGGCAGTCCGGACTGCCTCATAGGCATGTCAGCCCTCAAATGCCCTGGTACGACGGAGAGGGCTGGGCCCGCCCTCCCTCTCAAAATGCTCTCACATGGCCACGCGTATAGAGCCTCTGCCAGGGAAGTCCTACTCACTGCCTTCTCGTGGCGGGGGTTTTGTTTACGAAAATGAAGGGACGAAAAGCGAATGTCCGGCGCTTTAGCCGGATTCCAAACCAATGGTACAAATGGGCTCCAGTATCCTTAGGAACGAATGACGTATGAACCAATTGTTGGCCGCCGGTTACCATGGGACTGCATCTCCTCACGATGCTCCACTGCCTTGTGGATCAGACCTGTAGGTCGAAGGCTCCGAGTGTGACCCCCTAAGAAAACCACCTGCTTCGGTCTAGGCACCCGGGCAGTATCACAGCCTTCACACATATCAAATGTGATTTATGTGGCGCATATGTATTTGGTGCCTCCTTGTACCAATATTCATGTGCTCAAATAAATAAAATAATAATTGAAGTGTTAACGGTAAGTCCGTTACCATGAAATGACGATATTTACTGAAAATTCTATTCTCGCTTCGATTTACAGTCAAACAATTCACATTATTATTATTATTATTATTATTATTATTATTATTATTATTATTATTATTTACTACGTCATTCATTCACTCTCCTTTATTCCCACTTTATGTGTCATTATTGTTCGACTTATACAACAGCTCGCTTATGGTATTATTTATTTATTTGGATACATAAATATTGGTACAAGAGGGCACCAAATATATATGCGCCACACAAAACAACGAGAATTTGAAGAGAAGGAAAAAAGGTAAGGAGCGTAAAAAAAGAGAACAATAACGAAGAGATTGGTGTAAGGTAGTGTTATAATAATAATAGTAATAATGAGGGAACGGAAAGGTACAACCAGAAGAAATCTTTCAGTTAAGGAAGATACAACCACTTTTTACGAAGAAAGTAAGAGAAGGTTACAGCAGGATCGCCACTGGCTTCTATTCTGAGCCATATCTGATAACGTCTCTAGCCAGTGTTGCACCATCTCTAGGACCCCAGCCAGGGAGTCGTGAAGGACCAACAGAAACCAGCCCTTTGCAGCTTTCTTTCATACCATGACATCATGTCATACACTGACCACCTGCGCTCTTTCCAACCAGTCCCAGAGTCGGCAAATAATGCACGACGTGGAATTCTCTGGGACGACATTCGTAGAACATGTCCAAGCCACTGAAGTCGATGTTTCAAGATGCTGACACCAATTGGATTATCGTCTCTGCGTCCGAACACACGATGCCGAACCTCTGCATTGCTGACATGGTGTTGCCACTGGATGACAGCAATCCTCCGGAGACAACGATGATCAAACACAGAGAGTCGTCTAACATCCTCAACTCAGACAGGCCAGGTTTCACAAACATAGAGCAAAACTGCTCTCACCGACGCGTTGTAGACCCGACCTGTTACAGCCAGACTAACATCATGAAGGCGCCAAAGATGGCCCAGATTGGCATAAGCCGCTCTGGCTTTCACTATACATGCATTGATCTCATCGCTCACACCACCACCAGCACTTATGCAGCTACCTAGATACACGAACTTCTCGACTACGTCTATCTGCTCACCATCCAGGATGAGTGCAGGATTAGGATTCTGCCAGTCTTGTAGAAGTACTTTGCACTTCGAAGGTGCAAAGCACATACCATACATACGGACACTGATTGTGGTTGTATGCCCTCACTCTGCCTGAGGTGTTTGTATATAGGGCTTTTAGGATGGTAATAAACGTCTCAGGCACACCCTTCTTCAATAGACAATCCCAGAGAACAGTTCTGTGTGGCAAGCCCATTTGGCCACTGTATCATTTGTCTATTCATTGTAACTCAGACACTTAATTCATCATGTTAATTTCGGTGTGTATGATTGAATGCATGTCTGTACATTAACCCTTAAGCTATCCTCCTTTTGGTTGCAATGTGCAGATAATCGATAATTTATCCACACTAGATTAACCCTCAAAAATATATATGGATTTTTAACACACACACACACACTCATTCACTTTGTTTCATCGTGTGCTTGCTCGCTGTGCGCTTGTGGATTTTTATTAATCATTAACAATAAATTATCTCTACAACTGGTGTTCAGGCTTCTCAATAATCTCGAGTAAATCCTTAATTCTACTAGGAGATTAAGCCCACCTTAAATACTCAGTTTACGGGATATGATTTATTGGAGTCAGATATAGAGGACATAACATATTGGTTAGCCGCCGTTTCAACATATTGGTGACCCGCCTTTAGAACGCGCACCATTTTCCTCCCAAGTCTGCTGCATTCTCCTCAAGCGTATCATAAAGAACTTCATATTGGAATTATTATTATATTTAATAACAATCCATTGACAGTCATAATAAATTCACTTATAGCATTTTCCCTTGGGAATTATTACTGTATATTCTCATATATATACCCAAAGTGATAATTTTTCTTTTCGGTGAGTCTTATATATTTTTTGTTGTTATTTTTGATTTCTTCATATTGTATATTTCAAACCTCAGATTATTATTATTATTATTGCTCCTTAGTACCATGTCAGTTGATAATTCGCTAAGCCTATCATCTAAATCTATGTCCGTGGGTGCCATTTTTGTACCTTTACCTAGTTTTAATCCACGAAAGGCTGAACTCTGGTTTGCTCGCTTAGAAAGCTTTTTTGTTGCAAACAAAATCACAAATCAGAGTACGAAATTTAGTTACGCAAACTCACTGCTGCCGGACGACGTCATTGAACAAGTGCCTGATGTCATTTTTAAGCCGGATCGAATGATGAGTCAGGATCCGGCAGATTGGGCTACTATAGATGACACCGAGCATAAATGTACCATATCCGATAGCCAATTCACAGCTAATGACTTCACAAGTACCGCTATCATGGGATTCGCTAGCAGAGGAGCGGATATTTATATTATTGGCTATATATAAAAGGACGCCACCTCCTTTTCTAAATCTATGTCTATCACTCCTTAGATAGTGGTATCCGGATAATTCTGGAGTAATGTCTAAGTCATGGACTAATCAAGTTTCTGTCACTGCTACAATGAGTGGCCTTAATTTGTCCACTAATGCTTCTAGTTCATAGAACTTATTTCGTAGACTACGAGTGTTGGCATATAAAACTCCTAAGTAGAACAGCCTATCCACACAGACCTTGGTAGCATTCGCTTCCAAGACATGACTGTCCGAAAATCCACTAGCCGGAGATTTTCTTCGCCGTTTTGCCGACGGGTTTCAAGTTCAGCTAGTGTTTTCTTCCTTTTTTTTCTATCTTCGAGAGACATATCAGGTCTAACTCGGAATTGTCGTGACTATGAGTGCTACTTAACAGGAGATCCCGTTGCTTATCTGATCCTAGAATTACCTTAAGGAGTCTGCATGGTCGGGGTTCAACACTGTCCTCAGTCCTCTTGCCTATTCTAACCAATTTTTTGACCTGAACTCCTTTAGAGTTATCTGGTAAAATACTACGAATATATTCTCCTAGCTTTTCTAAATCATGCGCCTGTCTAATTTTAGGATCAGGGTCGTTTGACTCCTGCAATTTGTTCACAATAATATTAGATGTTATTTGATTTTTCTTCTCAGTCATGCCAGGACGGGTTTCACTCTTACCATCAGATTTTGGTAGTGCAGTTTGTGACTAACAATGGAAGTCCACCAGTGAGTTACTAACTACCTTTGTACTGCCTACGGCTTTTTCGTTTCGTTTCCGACGTACCGTAGTCCATTTTTCATCCCTCAGGACACTGGGACTATTTGGAACGGTGACGGTTTTATCCAGTTCGTCGGTTCCCACTAAAGGTGCATTGTTACCAGTGTCAGTACCAGGTGGTACTACTTCCATTGTTAATGTTAACGGAGATTTCACTTTCACGTCGGTCAGAGTCGGTTGTTTGAGGCGTCGCGTAACAGCAGGTACTACACTGACATATTCGTCTCTGTCAGTGCCCGTGTTGTCAGCGCATATGCCATCGATCTTCTTACAGGCTAAAGTCAATAGGCTCATAGCCTCCTGTATTAGTAATGCCTTATTTGCACAGCAAAACATGGAAAGCCAATATGAGTTAGGCTTCGAACATCTTTTGTATGCTGTGGGACTTAAACGAGGGCACATCTTATGGAACCAGTTATTGCATTCATCACACTGCATTCCCTCTTCCACAAGGAACACACAGTTTGGTTGTCCACATTTGTGAGTACTACCAACCATTTTAGTGAGATCAAGGTTTCAAACAAAATGTGAACACAAGTGTCAGTCAATGAGTAAAAGGGTACCACAAGACAAACTTTAGCAAGATTTCAAAGCTTAACTAAAGTACTTTTAATATAAAATAGACCAAGAATGCTTTTGATACAACAATTACACAAAAGCAATGATAATCACATCAAGTACAAAATCACTGCCTTTTTTGAAACGCGCTCGTGTATTATTGTTGTCTATGGACGACAATTCTACTGTATGCTATTTAAAATTAGTCCCTTGATATTACTGATCATTCAGATAGAATTTTTATTCTGAATTGCGACTTTTAATTCCTATAAATTGCTTATTGTATGTCATGCAAATCTAATTTAATGGGTCATTGAGTGACTTGGTTTCTTAGCCCTCTATCTTCTAGTACTAATTGATAACATAAAAGCTTCCTATATATGCAATATCTATTAAACATTGATTTTTAGGTTTATTAGTAGCATTCAACAATATAGTTGAAGATATGGTTTGTATTCCGTGCATTGTAATACCAGTCATATTATGGATACTACATCGGCTTTTATATCCTGTCATGTACTACTTTTTTCCAAAATTAAAGCCCATTCCAGAGCCGACAGTTGATGAATTGGTAAGAACTATTTTCATCATATATTTTGCATCATAATTATAAAAATTGGCCCCTATGTATATACCAGAATACTGAGATAACTTCACAAGTACTTCAGTGTATTTTGAAATTAGAAACTTGGTGAAACTGTAATTTATGAACTGTCTGTGTTGGACGCTAGTGATCTTGATAAAAACTCACCCATTTACTAGGTTCCAAAACAGGGTTATAATTGTGAGGAATCGGTAGGTGAGACTGTAATTTGTGGAGGACTTTTGAGCGACACTGAAATGACCTTGAGTGGGAACACCTACTGATTATGACTAAATGAGGATTATAATGCAGTTGGAATTCTCATTTACAGTTGATGGTTAGGGTTAAAAATTAGATTTATTGTTTCCATCACGAACTGATATCAGCTATAATGCCAAAACTCTATTTATCCAAATGTGTGGATGAATTTCCCGCCAAAATTCGTGAATCGTTATCTTATGTCTAATTGGTTCGTCTATAAATTATAGTCTCGTCAAAGATTCTTCCTACTCACTTCTATTCTGTTCTCACTCTCATTTGTATCCAGAAAAGAATCACTATTTAAACACAAATGTGTTCTCATGTTAGGTTATGATCCATGTTGAGTTTCTTCAAGAATTCCACACTTATCCAAATTTCATCTTGACTAAGTGATTCTTCTCAGAGAATCGTTTTATCATGAGCTTCCGAACCAGTTAAAAATCAGTGAAAATTAGAGAGAATTGACCAGCTGTTTCGTCCTAGTATGAAAGCTGACCAAAAACGCACATCTACAATTCGACCGCTTAGCGTTTAAGTCTTGGTATTATAACGGGACTATTAGAACATTGTGTCGGAAGCAAACAATCAGCGTCCCTAGCTTGAATCAGTAAGCGATACAGTCTGAAGGCTTTCAGCAATGTTTTAAACAATTATGACGAGGATAGATCAAGTTGGTTCACGAAAATCAGATTTATTTTTTAAAAGAGAACAAGATTACTTTCGCCTAGCAATGTTCTTATGTTTTCAGCTCGCATATTCATTAGAAAAATTGAATTGTTAGAATTGTTTATGTTACTGTTGTTTTCATTCACAACTCTCCTCTTCTTATATCTCTACCTATCACACTAAAGGAACAATTGGATGATATTACAAAAGACGATGTAACCGATACTTGTCAGGTTAGTGCATTATTTCAATTGCAAATCCGTTTTTTTTCTTCTTATTTTAGCCATCATCACCTTCAAAGTCTAAATCCGAATGATTTCTTTCTTGTTGCATTCTGTAAATTGACTTTTGATCTTACTTGAATAATTTAAAGTTCTTTTTATGAAAAAAAGCTGGTTGTTCTATGTTTGTACAATAGACTGTTTTAGGGGGGAATTATAATAGGATTATTGTGTTCGTCAAGTACCATCGTTTTTTCTTCAACCAAACTTGAAGCGGCTCAATAAAGACTGTCACTAATTCTGGAACACATGTTTAGACTCAGATCATTCTCTAGTGTGGGCATGTGTTTGTCAGAGTCTTATCGAATGTAAAAAAACCTTTTGAAGTTCAGCCTAATGACGAATTCATGATGATATTTCTGAAACAGCTAGAGAAGTTAACCAACCATTAAAGTAATATCCGCCTCAAGGTAGCTTGGTATGATATCCGAACAGCTGTAAAAACAGGAATGATATTTACCGTGGAACACCTGGAAGCACTGAACGGCCGTTCCGTCCTATTGTGGGACTCCTCAGCAGTGCGCATCCACGACCCCACCTCGTGGGATTCGAACCGAGGACTTACCAGTTTCGCATCAGGTGCTTAACCAACTAGACCACTGAACCGGCATCCAACAGTGTTAATGTCTAACTTCAACTAATCCACGAAATTAAGCGACGCACTCACCATTGTCATCAGTGAGTTACTACCTCACAACTGACCCGGTTGAACTCCACTGGTCACTGCTTCTCACTAAAACTCCAGGATATATATCTTGAATCCAGTCATTAGTGAGCATATGTTGATTAGTATCAGAAGGGTCATGGATGCTCACTGATGAGGAGTCCCATACTAGGACGAAACGGCCGTCCAGTGCTTCCAGGTTTTCCATGGTGTTCTAGCTTCAATTGACTCATGATCTCAACTGTTGAAATTAATCTCTTTTTATTGAGAAATAATGAAGGTTTTTTTTAATTCCAAATTATGGTTAGGCTAAATAAGTTAAAGGAGACATAAAATTTGAAGCGATTAATCCCTTCGATAAATTTGGATTGTGTAATAAGAAGATGAAGATTATCAGAATTATGTGATACTATTTTGGGTATCATAACAGATAAAATACAAGCTCATATTGGTGACGTAGGCATGACAAACTACTGATTATAAATAAGTAGTGTAAATTTACACTGACCTTTAAGTTTGGTAAACAATACCAAGTGAATTTAGACTTCACTTCATTGCACAAGCAAGCGGCTATTAGGACTCAGTAGCTAAGTCGATAACGCGATGGCATTTGAAGCGAACAATACTGGGTTCAAGTCCCAGAGTGAACATCAAATCTGAGGTGCAGGTACATCCACCTAACGAGTCCTAAATGGAACGAGACGCGCATCCTGGATTCCACTACTAACCGCTATCCATCTTTGCCTATCATGGTTGTGGACTAAAGCAATATCGCGACAATCCACAGAGGATACATATATGTTAAAAAAAGACTGATCAATCGTAGTCCTAAACATCAACGGGAAGATTCGAACAAACCAATTTCGTAAGTGTATTCATACACTTATATACACTGAAATGATATACGTAGTTATGTGATGCGATAAAATATGATTTTATGTGTAAGTAAATAACAACTGACACTTGAAGAGTTTTACAATGAAGAAAGTGGAAAAAACGTTATATATGAAGCTTAAAGACTCTAAAATATACATAGTGTTTAAACATGTTAATTGGAATGTCATACTAAAGTGTATGGCAGTTAACTTAATTTGTATAGATGACAGGACTACGTCATATTGACTCTAAGGTATCAGAATGATTATCTGTTTACCTACATATTTATCAGGCTTTTGAAGACAAAATGTTGACAATTATTATTATTCAGGTAGGGAGCACTTAAGGTAACTCAATAAAATGTACAGGAATTAAGGTAATTTTATCACAAGAGGGTATTGTGGAGATTTTTGTAATTCAATAGTTTGTTGAACTTAGACACTAACACTATTGGATACCGACTCAGTGGTGTAGACGTTAAGCGTTCACACGTGAGGCTGATAAGTCCTAGGTTCGAATCTCGCGGGGCGGGATCATGGATGCACACTGCTGAGGAGTCCCTTACTAGAACGGAACAGCCATCCAGTGCTTCTAGGTTTTCCATGGTGGTCCATCTTTAATTGGTTCATGGATTCAACTATTAGGGTAGTTTAATTAATACTAGTCAAAAATTGTGTATAATGGGATCGTGAGGATCATGTTAATAAGATTTTGAAAGTAGCGTTAGATACTATTAAATTCCATGAAATTCAGAAGACGAAAAGAACAAGAGTGAAACAATTGAAGTATAACACACAAATATTTTTGGTACATTTAAATTGTGAATTTTAATGAAATCAAGGACTCGGATTTCATCCTGTTTAGGACATGTCCATGGGATCTACCTATCTTAGTGTTAAGAAAGCTATCG